AATTCATATTGCCTAGGCAATATCTTCTAATCGATATCATATTTATTATGTGATCCCTGCATTATCCTTTTAGAAGGATTATATGTATGGGGATAGATGTTGTCAGAGCAATCTGTTTCCTTATTCTAATGCATTTGTTTTTTTATTTTATTAGCTCGACGAAAATTCTCGGAGGAGTTTGAGAAGTGCCGTTTAGATACGGAAAATCGTGTCCGGCGTGAGCTTCTTTTATCCCGCCCTCTCATGATAGAGAAAGCCATATCTACCGATCAGGCCGCTAAGGTATATTTTTATTATAGAAGATTACACTTTTGGTTGAATTATTGTTATTTGTGACTTTGCGTAATGTATAATGTATTTAATGTGTTACTGATGACTGAAATGGTTCTCTAATCTATTTCACATCCGGTACTTTTGTATTTTATATCTTGTAGGAATTGTTAATGCATTGCGATTACAGTCAGTTTTTTGCAACTATAGCTGGCTTAATTGCAAAGTTCCATTTGATGCATGATTGTATTATTAAGGGAACTTGATTTTTTTAAACAAAACATTTTCATTTGTATAAGAGTTTATAATATCTTTTATAGCATACAAGTTTTATTCTAGATGCCAGTGTATGTTAAAACTGGGCACACAAGATGTTGCAAAATTTAATGTTTTTATCCTTTTATACTCCAGTGCTCTCTTGTTCTTTTTCCTTATGCCAAAACGCAATTATGGGTTTTTTGATTCTTGCCTTTTCGTCATATTGACTATGAAAAGCTCAGGCCCAATATATCTGATCATGGTATTCATTCAGGCAAATGCAGGGACTTCTCTTATGTTAGAATATGCTATGCCTCTTTGAAGAATCGTAAATGAGAACTTTTGTCTGATGATCTACCTCAAAAACTGCCGATATTAAAGTCAAAATTCAACGTATTTTTACACTATTCCATACGATATATATTTGACTAGTTTGTTCAACAAATGGCTAATTATTTATCTATAAATTAGCGCCAAAATATGCATATGCAGGAAGTAAGTGTAACTGCTTATCTAGTGACATTTTTTTGCCCGTCTGAACAGATATAGTGTCTACATCATTATTAGATCTTGTGTAAAAATCCGTTGTATTACCTAGTCTGTTTTTCCTATTTGGGATGCCCACTATAGGATTTTACAGAATTAGACATGTTGCATCTATCCAAGTAGCTCGACTGCCTCTAACTTATGCTAAAAATGTGCATAATCCCTAAAAGGCTCTGCAGAAAGCCGGATTTAAGTCTGTATATGCTCACTATTTTTACATTCCTTATTTACCGATACGAATATCTATCACAATTTATACCATTACATTTATCCATTCGAGGCCCTTAAATTACGAATTATGATGGATATAGCAAGTAACGTTCAGTGCTTCTTTTTTGTATTTTTTGATGCAATATTAAGACACACTATCTGAATTTAAGTGTCTATAAATTTATGCTATTTTTTACACCAGAAGCAAATCTTAATTCAAAATCGATCAAGCTCATACAATCAGCCTGACCAATCTCTACACTTTAAAACGAATGCATTTGCATATACCTATTTGCGTTTTCTGGTCTGCCGATATTTAATATTTTGATTCCTAATTGAGCCAATTTAATCGGGACTTCGATTAAAAACTTATCTTTGTAGCAACCCTTTGCACAGCCTTAGTTCACTTAATTCTGATCAAAATTTTATAGTTTGTGAAGTCTACAACCGGGCTAATTTAGCCTTAATCTTGAAGTAGCAACTAACTCGGCTATACGGATTGCAATTGTCACGTAATTTAAATTTAGGCAGTGCCATCATTTGCTCTTTGTTTTACTGGCCATTTTACCATAGGGGCGCCTAGTTACTCTATGCTACGTATGCAAGACTGGGCCATATCCACTCCTGAAAACTATGCGTTTAGCTGCCGAGCCCTATTGAACAGCTTCTAGAAATTGTTATTTGCCTGTATTTATCCGAATTATGGGGGCCTATGATTCATTTGCATCTTTGGATATTTATCTTGATTTAACCTGATAATTGGCGGTGTCGGTATTTTCGTCATACTCTAACCCTGCAATATTAACTCCAATATGGTTGAATATTTCTACCTATTAAATCGGCTGGTTGTGATCATCGCACATCTATTCTCGGTTTTTTACTAGTGATTTTGATAATCTCTTTATTTATTCCCTTCATGGACTACTCTACCACACTCATTTATAAAATATCTCAAGGGGATCACTTTATTTCTTCCTAGTTACCTGATTTTCTC